AATATATAAATCAGAATATCAGAAGAATATTATAAATTGTAATTTGTAGATTGTAAATTAATATTATAATTTGATTTTTGTTTCTAGTGTATTTGTTATCTTTTAAATATATTTTATACATATATCTGTTAATTTTCACAAATCCATTACCTTGTAATTAAAATAGAGAACAGTTTAAATCCTTATCAGTGCGATGTGCAGCTACTGAGTTATACAGCGTAATATACAGTGTTAATCTGTAAAATATACACATTTATCTATTTAATCTAATTTAAAACAAGTGTCCAAATTACATCTCAAAATGTATTTATAGCGTGCATTAAAATTTTCCTTTTATTAAATTGTTTCAAATAATAATAATATACACATAAAAAATAATAAATTATTCACTTTATGGTTATTCCGTCGTCGCTTGATGCCGCCCCGGGCCTTCTCCTTCCCCTCTCTTATTTCACCATTATCGCTCTTTCGTGATATTCTCTGGAAAAAAAAACAAATTAATTACAATTACGCGCATATTAATCACACCCGAATATAATTAATAAGCGGTACCTTTGCACAACATTTTAATGGCGGGTGATGCTACCCATTGTATTAATACAAAATAAAAAATGATTAAAATATGATTTTAATACATGAAAATTATTGTAAGTATATGAGAGTATATCATGAGAGACAATGATTTCCATAAATTATTATCGCTATTCCTATTTACTCAAATAAATGTAGCGCGCAAAATATTTTCTTCGACAAAAAGCCGTTGTCGCGATACGTTTAATCGCTTAATCAAATTAAATAATTGCGCAAGTTGATACTCACTAACCAACATATACTTAGCCATGTTCGACGAGGTATTTTTCGCGATCGGGTCTCGAAAATTAATCGGTCCACGCCGCACCGCGCCGTTAACCTAATAGGATACTCTGCGATTAATTCCTAAGCAAGCTTTCGAGAAAACAATTCTATTGCATATAATCGTATCTATTTGGTTCGATTATCTCTTTGGCGACTTACCTGTGCGGATATTAATGAAGCTCGCAATTTCTGCGTCTGTACCAAACGCCGTTTCCGCGGGAAAAGAGGAAGAAGCCGGACGTAACGTCTTGAAATCAGCGCTAATATTTTTCGCGATCGCGTCCCGGAAATTAATGTAACGGCCCGTTGCGCCGTTCACTTAATAAAATATTCTGCGATTAATTCCTAAGCAAGCTTTCCATAAGGATGATACTAGACATAATGCAAATTCGATTATAAATACATATAGAAGAATAGACTCGTCTCTAAACAAATACTCGAAAAACGGATAGAATAAAAGTATATCCATAATGGCCGATTATCTTAACCGAAAAGACGCTTGACTTTTTATTCTTATAATTCCCGTCTAATATGCCATAAAACTATTAAATATTCTCACAGTCTATTCAAGAAAACAATTCTATTGCGTATAATCGTATCTATTTGGTTTGATTATCTCTTTGTCGGCTTACCTGTGCGGATATTGTCGAAATTGTCCTGATTGGTCAAGCTTTAAAGTAGTAATTCGCGAATATACCGAGCTGTCTCATTAGTGGATATATCGAAATTTTTAAAATCAGCCAATCAAGTCGAAGAAGTCGCACAAAATCTACCGAAAATCGCCGAGCAGTTCTCGAACATTTGGCGCGGGAATTAAAATCGTTTAAAGTCTTTATGCAAATGGCGTGATACGAAATATCCACAATTAATATTTTTTCTTCATAGTAGTGTGAAAATGAACATTTATTACGCATTCGAATTTTTAATAAAATTTTCAACTATTTCCAGTTGTCTTTAGTATGTATATATCATGATATGAAGAATGGTAAAACATCTCTCTTGTCACGGTGGTCGCAAATATTTTTAACAAGAAACAGCTCGAAAGTCATGATTCGCGAGGACTGTGCTCACCGAATCGTATACGAGAATCTGGATGTTTTGTTTGCAATAGCAAAGTTGAAGGATGCTTAATAAATAGACCGAGCTACTTTCTAACCTGTTTATTTCGATATTTATACACGTATGTAAATGAAAGCGAATCTTTCTATTCATGCTTCACTTTCATTTTAATAATCAGATGTATCAAAAGAATGCCTTCTTATCGCATTTTTTCATCTTATTTTTTATTTCTTAATCAAACATATTTGAATACTGTTGATATTGTTTTGTATTATTTGTAGTTGCAGAGCGTGGAATATCTCATTATGATAATAACATATGATAACATAAATTATTATTCGATTTAATTTTATCACATGAATACTTCTCGACTAGAGTTTCGTATTCAACACTTTCTTCCAGAAAAAAAAATAGAGAGGAAATGCAGATACAGTAAAAGATTGGATGCTTACAATTACGGTAATATCTTATTATTGATAACGATTGAGTTATTCACTGCATGATATATTGCATGACAACAAGAAATTTGACAAGCTATTTTAACTTGTACAGATTTATAACTAAACATTTAAAGAAAAATATAAAATTATTGATACTTGATAATTTATTAATTTTAATACTTGATAATTGTAGTATTTGATAAATTATTATATTTGAAAATAGATTTATATACGATAGTTTATGTTGTCATTTAGGAATGTTTACGCGATTCAAAAAGAATTTGACCAAGGATCAAATATAAATATCACTGATACATCTGTAAAAACTACACAATAATATAGAGTAAATGTAATAGTAATACAACAGATTTTATTTTAAAGAAATTCTATATGTTTTATATTTATATAAATGACATAAACAGAAATGTATTTTAAAACTATATTGTTTATTGATGAGGATATAATTCATAATATATGCAATCAAAGACTTCACAAATTTTAAATTTGTTCATTACGTCTTAAAAGATGAAGATTATTAAAAGAAAATTTTAATAAATTTGGCATTAAAGTAAAACTAGTGCTAAATAAAAAATTAATTATGTGAGTTATTATACAATATTAATTACTGTATGCATTATAAAAACTGTAAAAATAGTCGTTCATTGAAAGTTCATAGAATACAAAAGCTTTCAAGAAGAAAAAAATATTTTTGAAGTAATATAAAAATATATGTTAAATAAAAAGAGAGAGAATATAAATATGTATCTCAAATATTATAAATTTGAAATACTTCTCATTTGTTCATAAAATTGAGAATTTATTGCAAGAGATTTCTCGGTAGAACTACAAAATACTCTATATAATTATTTTATTTTATTAGAAAAATAACAAACGATATATAGAATAATTTTTATTAATATTATATATTTATTGATTTTAAAAATAATTGTTTTATTTTGAACTAACTTTGTGAATATTATGATATAATTATGCCGATTCTTATTTTGATATAGAAATATCTTTTTTTTCGATTAAATGAGACATTATACTATGGATAATAATATCGATTAGGTAGAAAATAGACGAGAGATCGAAATATCCCTGGATGTACTTTAATTTTATTATATGATCTCGCATTAAACACAGGAATTGGTTAATATTTAAATATGGATTTATTCCAAATTTTGTTGTTACTTCTTGAAGATACAATGATGTTACTGAATGAAGAGTTTGATTTAAATTTATCATGAATATTGTTCCCTGCATCTTATGAAGTTAGTTTTATTTTGATCGATTCTTCAAAGATATGATAAGAAGAATCGAGAAAAACAGTAATATTGTTATCACTAGTTTTTTCTTCCTTTTCTTCTACATATATGATTTTTTCAGTATAGCTTTTTCTTGCATTATAATTATTCTTATAATAATTCTATAATTAATTAGGAATTATTGAATTTCCTTCTTCTTTAAAAAATAAATTTTTTTGAAGATTATCAGTTTGATTTGTCGAGCTTGGAAAACTGTGATTCGTAAATAAAGATATGATAGCATGAAGAGACTTTTGGTTATCTCCTTCATCATAATAAGATAATAAGATTGTCTCAAAAATGAAAATCTTCGCAGCAAGTCGTTATCGCCTGATAATGCATAGCTCTTGTTCAAGTTTGATCTGCGAGGCGCGCATGCTGCTGACCCTTCAAATTTATGATTTATGGCCCTTACTATATACATATAAATAATTATTTTTTCCCATTTATTATTCTTATTAAGTAACTATGATTATTTCTAGGATTGACATAAAAAATGTATTTACCAAATTTAAATTATTTATGTATAATTAGCAAATTATCATAAATTCTCTTAGTCCATAATACTTTCCTATTTTTCAGAATGTTTTCATTTATTTACAAGGTTGACAAATATACGTTTGACTTTGATTGCAGTCTAGTCAAGCATTATATAATGGGAGTGTAATCTGTATGATCAAAGTTCAAGCAATTTGCATCATTATTGTGACGTTGACCAGCTGAGCATCATGGAACAAAGCTTGCATCCATTTCAGAAATTAGCTCGCCAGTACTTTCCCAATTTCATTTCCAGAATGACGTATCATTGAACATCGACAATTTACGTTTGCCATCAATCTAGATATGCCGCAGTTCTGCAATTATCAAGCATATGAAATAAGTAATTAAACATAATCTGAAATAAGTAATTAAACATAATCTGAAATTCGTAATTTATGATTAAATTTACAGATACAGATAATTTTTATGATATATTATTCTGTGAAAAATCAAGATATCATTTCTTTCATTTAATGCATACATAACATTCTACTTAATTTTATATGAGAAACTTAAGAAATATATTTAACAATATTCAAAAATATAATTATTAAAATACAGATTGTAAACGTCTGTAATAATTTGTTCCTGTTCTTTAGAGATGCTATCAATTTTTAAATATTTGTAATATATAAATAAAATAATACATATAGAATTATCTGAATTTAGAATATAATAATTGTTATAAATATAAAATTATACTAAGGTAAATTTAATATTGATTGAACATTTTTATCTCTATATACTTCTCTTGAATTTATTATAAAATCGGAAAGTAGAAGCCTGACTTACCGTATGCCAATCCATTCACCATTTCTACCATTCCTGCGCTATCCGGTGCTGTTGTCGATGATTTTAATAATGCTATGAATTCAAATAGTAGAGTAATCTATATATAAGAAATACATAACAATTTGGTGACTTTAATGCGTGTTGAACGATGTCTTGATTACAATGATTCTGTATTTATATATATATACAATAAATAATATAATAAATAATATAACAATCTTTGAGTTAACATTACTAATTTTTATGGCACAATTCACATAAAATCAATTTACAGTAGATAAAATTAAATATGCTTTTTATTAAATAGAATATTTAATAAAAAAAATCTGCTTTTACACAGTAAATTATTTAATGGTAATTCACCGTATTTCACTCTTTTGTTATGCGATAATACAACTTTTATAGTAAAAACAATGTTTATCTGATTTCTGATCTATTAAACATATTCAGGTGTATCATGATTGTGTCATCGTTATCGAGTATTTTAATAACCGATTAATAAGCGAGACTGGTATCGCGTAGGAGTTTGACCTCGAATCAAAGAAAAAAAAGATGTAATATATAGAAAACGTACGTCGTACTTTACATGCTAGAGAGAGAGAGAGAGAGAGAGAGAGGAGAGAGAGAGGAGTTTCTCGCACGTTTTAGTACAGCTCGATAAATCCGCGGATAAATATATAATAATTGTTTAATGCTAGATTTTATATAATAATCCAACATATCAAAAAGTAATAAAAAGTAATAAAAATATATTCTATATGTTCTTATTATAATCATTTTGCTAAATTGAATCTTGTTTTTAATTATATTTTTTTAATCATAGTTTTTACATTGCCGATGCTATAGAAATATATTCCAATGATATATTTATATAAATATATTTATTCCGCTGCCAGTTTAGCATTCAAATTCAACATTTATAGCGTTTTCGAATGTAGCAGGTTTAATCGCTCTGAGAGTGATTAATGACGTCATTGCATCGTCTCTGCCAATAAAAGGCTTGAATTCATAGTAAAATATAGTGATTAATTGATCCGAGTTGAATTAACCCGTTTATTCAAAAACGCTATTAGCAACAGTTTAGACCGGTCGATTTGACCAGCGTTGTCAACGTTGATAGTGTTAATTGACCATTCCATAGAAGTTGAAAACGAAAACGTTCAAAGCATTTGGAAGTGGCAACTCGACCGCACCCTAAAGCCCGTATCAGACTACGTATTGAAGATTGAAATTCAACCAATTAGGATAAAAGGAACTAAAATTTCCTTGTCCTGATTAGTCAAGTTTCAATTTTAATGCATAGTCTGATACGGGCTTTAGAATGGTCGCGTTCAGCAAAGAAAGCGCTCAGTTATCGTCTTGTCAACACTCGATATTGATTTGTTGGTTCTAAAAGTAAGAGCCAATCACGTTGGATTACTATTAAGCGGTTTGTTCTACTGAACGCGCCCAATGAAATGACAGTGTAGCACCTTCAAACCCTTCAAACGAACCTTCAAATGAATCAACGATGAATCAACGATGAATCAATCCTAAATGGGTGTTCCCATTCCCATTTCCCATTGGAAAACCCAATCGGGTATTCACCGTTCTTTCTCGCGTATGCATTCCATTCTTATCTTTTTATTGGCTTTATTCGATGTTGAATGCTCAGATAAAATTGACTTCCAGCAAAGTGTTCGTACATTTCTCATTCAGTGTTGTCCAAGAAACGTTATCCATTATCTTATCCTATCGGTGCCAGTTCAAATCGTAGAAGAAAAAACTTCGTGCTAAAATATATTAAAAAGCTTCCTCTATGAGGAAGTAAAAGTAAAAAAAGGTAATAAAAATATTTTCTGTGTTCTTATTATAATCATTTTGCTAAATTGAACCTTGTTTTTAATTATATAATTACATAATTATTTGTGATTATGACTAAAAATGGAATACTGACTATGAACTGTAAAATCTTTTCATCCATCGTTAAAACTTGATATTCTAAAATATTTGCGAAAAACTGTAATATACCGATACATAGAAGACTGCGATACGTAATACGTATTTTGACAGATTTAAAATATGTACAGATAACGAAAATTCTTTAACAGAGCGACTTTTGAATAATAATCGGTCAATGAATAATCTTACAATTTCTAAATTGACATAAATCAATAAATTTGAGTAAAACCACATACAGATCAATAATTAATGTAATTTTATTTGCAGAAAAAAGATCTCTAGATTCTTTATACTTTCTGAAAAGAGGATTTTGTGCAAATATAATGGCTACAAATAACGAAATAACTAAAGATACACTTTGGGTAAGCTCTTGATTTTAGTGCATACAATTTTACATTGAAATGCTTTTTAATTTAGAATTGTCTTAATATTATTTAATTGTAATCATAGTTTAGTTGTATTTGTCTTCCCAAAAAGTTTTTGAAATTTGAAATTAATTAACGCTAAAGAAATTAGTTTTTTGATCTTTTGTTTTAATTCATTTAATAGAAATATAAAAATCTTTTGTATATTTATTTCTCAGGAAGAAATGAAGAGTCTTGCTGTTGAACAACAACAATATTACTATGAATTACTTCCTGACTGCATAGAATATAAAATTGACGAACATAAATACCTACGACAGAATATTGGTTATACGATTTATGGTTTACCAATGAGCAATGAGAATGCAAATATAACAGAAAACATTTGCTCGAAAACAGAAGTTAGTTGCTATTGGGAACCAGAAGATTCAAATGATACAGATGCAGATATAGTCGATAAAGTGAATTACGATGAAAAAGCTACAAGTGTCATAAATATGATATATAATAAAATACGCGAATGTACAATAGAAAATGATAATACTCAATCAATTTACTTTGGTATAATTTACAATATAATATTCTGTCCTAACATGAATGTACAACCGAAGAAAAAAGAAGTAGAAAAGGAAACAAAAACAGAAGTAAAAGAATCAGTAAAAGAAGAAGAAGAAGAAGAAGAAGAAGAAAAAGAAGAAAAAGAGTCCGCCGTATCATCTATCCCCATTTTTACAATTAGGAAAAATATTCAGAAAACATCCGACACTGTAAAGAGTTTGAAACAAAAAGAAGATATAAAAAATGAAGTTCAAGCAGATTACGAGACATGGTACATTGATATTTGTGGCAGAGTGTATAAAAGTTGGGCAGATTATATAGAAAATAATAATTTACCAAAATGCACTATGGTTGTTCCCAAAGATGGCTTTTATCAAGCAGATTCATCTTATCCAATAACAGAAGACAAATCAACAGTTTGGCTTGAAGTCATAGATTCTCCCGCATGCACATTTAGTAAACAAATCTGCGATGGAATGGATATTGTTTCTGCTATTGCCGGATTTGGCACAGTCGGCTTAAGTGTGGCGTCAATGTTCACACCTCTCGCACCAGCTGTTCTTGTAACAGGTAAATTGTCACGAGATATAATTGATGTAATATCAGTTTTATTGTATATGTTAAGCATTAATTATGTAATTTTTATAATCTATCGTTTCTCTCATATCAACATATAATAATTACAGTATAAATTTATAGGACATTTCGTATTATATTTTATTTTGAACATGTTCTATAATATTTATTATAGGTCTTGTTGCTAGTGGTGCAAGTGGTGTTTGGACAGTCGTCCGATCTTCTCAGCAATTGGTTGATCGTAAAAGTCACGAGGAATCTATTGATATTTTGGATAAGGAGGCATTACCTCATTGGCTTGGCATAGCTGGTACAATATTTGGTTTCGGATCGCTTGGAGGATCAGCTGCTCTATCCAAAGCTGCTGCAAGTGGTCAAACGGTACCCACCTTTGCAAAAGTGGCATTTAATACTGTACAAGGTGGCAATCTATTCTTGAACGGCGCCGGTATCATATATCAAGGTTACAATATGATAGATAAATATATGACAGACAAGACTATCGATAAGATAGAAGCGTTACATTTGGCAATACATATTATGTTTTTCACCGGCGCCGTAGTAAAGATTCAATTCGCCAACGATATCATTGAGAGCACCCAGGGTAAAATCATCAATGATCACAGAGATACTTTGCGTAAGAAAAATCTTCGTAAGAAGTTTAATCGCGTTGTGCGAAAGGCTGCCGAGAATAATACATGTAAAATATCTGAGAACGCAGAAGTGATAAAGTACATAAAACATCGTGAACAGTTATTATCTGTTAATCAGCTTGTTAACCAGCCTGTTGCTCATGGTCAAACAGACAAGACTCCACATAATATCGTATGGTCATTCGAACAGGATAATCTAAAAGTCAACGGTTTTATATTGTTAGATCCTGTTGAATATGTTGTTCGCCTCATGAAATCGGATATATTTAACGAAAACTATAAAAACAATCCATCTGGTTCTGAGAACTATGTTGATGATTCTACCACTGATCAGTTAAGAAAAGTATTTTGTGTTTTATTAAACAAGTTCTATCTGAGCGATGCTTGTCCCAAGAGCATGAATCTGCCAATAATTCCTGACTTTGAACCACTTCTTAGAGATATGAGTCGTATGAAGATTGATGAAGAAAGTCTGAAAAAACTGTTTAAGATCGTTAAAAAATTAATGAAACGTTCTAGAAATAAAGAAGATTTTTTACTCATGGCTTTTTCCTTTGTCTGGCAGTATTGTAAAGCAAATTTAAAGCAATGGGAAATGGACTTGCGTGATCGCATGCAGAGCAATTCAGATTTGAACATGTTGCAGAATATTATTATTGCTGTTTTTGAAGCAATCGACATGGTAGTTAATAATCTTTATAGTGCCTTTGTGGAATACATAATAGCTAATTGTGAAAGAAATAAATCGTGAAGAAATAAATTGGATATACTCCAATATGGAAAACAAAAATTAGAAATAATGCTCAAAATAATCTTGTAGAAACAAGCTGATAATTTTAGAGAAATATATAAATTAGTAGCTTTTTAATAGACATTTATTTTAGAATAAAACTTTGGCTTAAAGGAACTTTTAACATACCAGGTATATATGCTGATACACATTGTGCCTTAAATGAGATATCACAAAGTTTCACTTATTTACAAATATATTAATTACGTGTTATATATGAATGAGAATTATTTAATCAAGGGAAATAAAATTTACAGATTGTGTATATATATATATATATATATATATATATATATATATATATATATATATATATATATATATATATATATATATATATATATATATATATATATATATATATATATATATATATAATACATACTTTTGTTGAAAGAGAGAGAGAGAGGATATTCTTTGTATTATGCTACTATATGTACTGACTCGTAATTCTTCTAAAAAATGTATTCAGCTATTGTGTGTGCCTTATATTTGAATTTATTATGTGTATATCTACATATATTATATAATTATCGTTAAAAATTATAAAATAAATATTATCTAGCTATCTATATGTCATATATTACTTGTTTTTTATATTTTTCATTAAGAATAAAATATATGTTTTATGGTACCATTATTCTACATCAATTTAATTGATCTATTATTTATAATTCTCTGAAGAATACGAACGAATGAAGAATGTATTAGAATTAAAAAGATAACAAATTTTACAAATACATAATTTTACATAATCGTATCAGTTTCATCAAATTTGCTCACTCTTTACAAAAAGATATAAATTTGAACACTAGGGTAATTTATCGCTATATAGTTTTCATGCGGACTTATCTTAATGCGCGTGTGCACCCGATAATTGAGGATCGGCACGCGATCCAGTCAGCTGACCTGTCTTGTGATAGCAGCTAGGCTGGACTCGGTGAGAGAAGCACGTATTCGAGTCGCTAGTTAGACTGCTCTTGAGAACGTCGCATCTCGTCGGTGAGTATTGCATTGAATCGATCGCGTAAAGCACGGCGATAACGCCGTCCTCTTGTCGTCATCTTAACGGATGATCAATTCAACGTTTCGCGGAAATTCACGCGAGCGAACGAGCTTCAGCGCGTGTAAGTAATATCGATCCAGTGTGCCGCTTTACGTACGCCATCGTCTTTCCTGATCGAGCGCGAATCCGCGAATTTTCGATGGATTTTCGACGACGAGGCGCCTCTCTCGATCATCCGGCGACCGTACGTCGACATTCGCGGCCGTCCGGATAAAAAAGCGCCGTTCCCTTGCCTAGCAGACGGCTCGCGGGCTTCGCGGGGCTACGCCTATTTTTTTGAACGGCCTGCTCACGTGAATCGCAGCCAGCGTGTGACAGCTGTACTTTTCCGAAGATCTAGCCTTTGCGAAGTGACTTGATGGATCATTCATTGCAAATAATAATCGGAGAACATCGGATTAATAAATCCATTCTTTTTATATATGCATTGTTTTATATCATTTATTTTAATCAATGTAATATAGGTTTGTTCCTTCCTCTCCCCCTCTCTCGTTTCTTAAGCGCGAAAATACAAGGCGTAACTTGTTAATTTTTTTTTCTGCATTGACTATGTAATTAACTTTTTCTCTTGTCTGCCTAAAAAATCTATATACATCTTATAAGCACAAAGATGTAAAGAATGTAATTAAAAGGAGCATTAATTATAATCGTCTGCATGTATTTGTTCTCAGAACTTGACAAATTCCCAACTCTGTCATAAAATAAAGCATTATCAAGTAGACAGAGATTGCTAAATAATATTTTTCTTTTTCAGATAAGTTAAGCATTCAAAATGACGAATCAAAGTTTGGCTAAAATTGCACATGAGGACCGGGAGGGAAAATTTGGATATGTCTATGCAGTATCCGGTCCTGGTTAGTTCTTATCTTACATAAAAATTCTTCTATATTACACACATATTTATATATTTCTTATTATAGTCGTTACCGCTGAAAAAATGTCTGGGTCAGCTATGTATGAGCTGGTGCGAGTCGGTTACTATGAATTAGTAGGAGAAATTATTAGATTGGAGGGTGATATGGCTACAATACAGGTATATATAAGCGTCCAGACATGCACATTTAATTTGTGTCTTGGAGTGTAAAGATAATTTAGATAATTTCATAATATATTTTTAGGTATATGAAGACACAAGCGGCGTGACTGTCGGTGATCCCGTACTTCGCACTGGAAAGCCACTATCTGTCGAATTGGGTCCTGGTATCCTCGGCAGCATTTTTGATGGTATTCAACGTCCATTGAAAGATATCAACGAGCTCACAAACTCAATCTACATCCCGAAAGGCGTCAATATACCGGCACTCTCGCGTACTGTTGCCTGGGAATTTAATCCGCACAATGTAAAAAATGGCAGCCACATCACGGGCGGTGATATGTATGGCGTTGTACACGAGAATACTTTGGTAAAACATTGGATGCTCCTTCCACCTAAATGCAAAGGCACTGTCACGTACGTCGCGCCAGCGGGCAATTATACCGTTGATGTAAGATTATATTTCCTACATGATATATTTCTCTCATTTTCTTTATGCTTTATATCATATAAATTTGCTCAAGTATTGCGTACCTTTAGGATGTCGTACTGGAGACTGAATTCGATGGCGAGAGGCAGAAATATACCATGCTTCAGGTACGAAATTCACTTTTGTAGCGAATATATATATATGTGAGAGTTTTGAATGTGTATTGTGCATGTTGTGAATTTACTGTTACATGCATGCAGGTGTGGCCAGTCCGTCAACCTCGTCCAGTCACTGAAAAACTGCCAGCTAATCATCCTCTACTCACTGGCCAACGAGTCTTGGACTCTCTCTTCCCGTAAGAATATGTCTTTGAATTTTAAAACATGTGTTGTGGAATGTATCTAGAAATATTTAGAATGTGGATGTTTCAGATGCGTTCAAGGTGGAACCACGGCTATTCCCGGTGCTTTTGGTTGCGGCAAGACGGTCATTTCTCAAGCCTTGTCAAAGTACTCTAACTCTGATGTGATTATTTACGTCGGTTGCGGAGAACGTGGTAACGAAATGTCTGAAGTACTACGCGACTTTCCCGAGTTAACTGTGGAGATTGATGGCGTCACCGAGTCCATTATGAAACGTACCGCTTTGGTCGCCAATACATCTAACATGCCGGTGGCCGCGCGTGAAGCGTCCATTTACACAGGTATGCAATACGTTATTGAAGAAAAATCATATATATCACAATTCACTAATTATAAGATAACATGTTATGAATATAAAACTGCACACATATTACTTAATAAGTAATCCATTCATTATTCATTATATATATAGGTATTACTTTATCCGAATACTTTCGAGACATGGGTTACAACGTGTCGATGATGGCAGATTCGACATCTCGTTGGGCCGAAGCCCTCCGAGAAATCTCAGGTCGTTTGGCTGAAATGCCTGCCGATTCCGGTTACCCTGCTTATCTTGGTGCTCGTTTAGCCAGCTTCTACGAACGTGCCGGAAGGTACGGGGTTATTTTATATTATAATATTTAATAAATATTAGTAAAATATGTATTTCCCTCCTAGAGATTACGATATTAGTGAGAATTTAATATAATTAACTATTTAGTTAACTATAGTTAATTTAATTGTTATTATACTATACAGTTAACTTACAATCTTATGAGAGATTTATATAAAAAAGTAGAGATAACATTTTGCGATTAATACAAATGCGACTAATTGATGCGCAACTAAAATATCAGATTTTAATTTTTATATAGAGTCAAATGTTTGGGAAATCCAGATCGTGAAGGATCTGTTAGTATCGTTGGTGCTGTCTCACCACCAGGTGGTGATTTCTCCGATCCTGTGACTAGTGCGACGCTCGGTATTGTACAGGTACAAATGATATCTATGTGAATATATAAGTATATATGTAAAAAAGATATATTGATTTTTTAACGAATGATTTAATTTGCAGGTATTCTGGGGATTGGATAAGAAAAGAGTTACTTGTAATTAATTGGATATTATCAGAGAAAATAATTTTATCATTTGCAAAGATATACTTTCATTTTGACCGCTTTGTTAATCGGGAAGTTAATATTCCCACGTTTTCTGTGTATGTGTAATATAAACGAAAGTATATAAAACGGCTTCTCCCGTTTCATTATGCGCGCAGATTAGAATTATTGTTACGAAAAGATACTCTCTTAATTATCGATCACACGGCACGTGGATGACGGTAGCTCTTACCTTGCAAGAGATTGAATCATGGAGTATATTAAGTATTGTAACATATATATACATTGTAATGTATATTAAGTATTGTAACTATTTAAGAAGAATGCGATAAATAATAATCGCAACTGTTACACGTAATTAAATATACTATACTTTAACGATAAAATGTTATAAACATTGCATAATTTGAAAGTTTAGAAAAAGAACACACCCGATAGATTAGATAAATAATCAAGGTGCGGAATCTTCAATAGTGAAGATAAATACGAGAGAAATAAGAATGTGTACACATGACTAGTGTTCCATTGACTTCGATATCATTTCCATTGTATGATATGTAAAAAAAAAATACAATAAAAGAATTATGCAAGAATTATACAAGAGGATCATGAACATACCGGGAATGGATAGTAATATTGTTGAATAAACTCACAGACTACTCTTTCAATAGACTTCGCGTTTTAATAATAATAATTATTATATAACAATAAAACCCCGCGGTATGTACATCAACGATATATTACATTCTGATATCTAACGCTTAGTAAATTAATTCAGATGCACCTTTTTTTTCATAAAATTGCCTTGCATTGAAAAAAATATGTTATTGCCATATGCAATTTTATGCATATGTACACATACATGTGTAACTATGTAACTACACTTGTATGTGTATAATTGATCTATTTTACAATTTGAATCTTCTGATTTATCCTACGAAATATTCTATCTTATAATTATATGAAAACAGTATTAAAAATAAAAAATATGTAACGAACTCTGCACAATCATTCATTTGTCATATCTGTGGATTCTTTATATATATATATATATATGAATCAACAAAAATGTCTTTCTGCACTACAATTTCGAACCATTTTTTCGGAAAAAAAAGATGATTCATGTCAATGTTTTGATATTCACAGCCACGATATTTCAACGTATGCCAGTTATATTGACATGTTAAGTCTATATATGGTATTTCTATGTCTACTCATAGACAAATCTTCCACATAATAGTCATAACTACACGGCTGTAACAATCTTATGATTTCTATCATCTAATATCATCATTAAACAAAGCGTATATAGAAATATATCTCCAAAAATCTGAGAAAAATCTCTATAGAATTTAATATATTATATTAAATATAGCATTCTATATATAATTTACTTGATATGAATAAATTGATTTTCCAATGATATTTTCATGTAATATAAAAAGTAATTACACATACAACGTTATCTACATTACGTCTTGTGCAGCATACTATAATGAAATAATTATATATATGTAATACAACGAAAATTATTCTTCCTTGTTTTATTAAAATTTCAAATTGTATTAAAATACATGCACACCGATTTTCAAAAATCTTTTCTGTAACCAGAAACTTTTGCAAACTATTCTACAAATTCAAAATTTTGTTTTATTTACCAACTAGAAATTGATGCTATTGTTAATAAATTATTAAATTAATCCATAGATTAAGATAGTAGAATGTTGATATGAAATCATAAATGTGCAGTTATGACTATACAACTAGAAATTCCAATTTTGATTTTGGGCGATAAAATGAAAATACCTTATTAAGTTCAGTGCAGTTACCAGAGAAGAAAATAGAAAATTAGATCTTTTGTATACAAGACAATTCATAAGATCCTAGTATTTACAAAAAGAAACCAACTTACAAAAGAGGAAGCTTAAGGGCTCAAATGTATAACATCGATACTGGTAGCCGATGTGGGGGACGATATTTGCGTTCTGAGTTGAAGATTCTCGCGTTTTAATTGGGTGACTAATTGTTTCAGTGTTGTAATCTCTTGTCGTAATTTCTCATTATCTCGCAGACATTGACCCAGATTTTGATTAGCTACGCGCAATTCCCCTATGTATTCACAGGCCTTTGCCAGAATACCTCCTTTACTCTGTTACCAACAAACAATGACAAATATTGTTTTATAATAATTATATATTAAAAATTTCACTTGATCATTTACCTGAGTTTCATAGTTGGTTTTTCCTTCTCCACTACTGCCACTGCCAGCAGTGTTAGTACTGGCATTACAATCAGGAATTATTTTACCCAATTTTGTAATCCAATTGTTTATTTTATCTCTACGTCGACGCTCGACTTCGTTATGTGTCGCTCTCCGCCTGTCGTCTCTCTAAGAGAAAAGAACAGAAGAGAAAAAAATTTAATTTATACTATTCTGATTAAAATAATAATGTATATTGCATTAAAATAAACCTTCTTCAAGCCACTAGTGCAATTTCTTGGGGTTTCTATTTGCAGCGTGGTTGCTCTTGGCACCAAAGATCTTGATGCTTGCGCTGTGGTAAAGACATCATTGGCATTTCCAATAACATAAAACTGTCCATTTATGGGTGATGTTAAGACCTGTACGGTATTATTTCCTGGTTGCGACACAGGTAGCTCTATTTCGTTGGTTGGTTGTATGGCTGTTGTACCATTTACTTGAACAACTCGATACGCTAAGGCTTCTTGATAACGCATTTCATCCTCTCCAATAGGCTCTCCTATTAGAAATATAGAATATATATCAATGAAAATTGATTCTTAACAACAATACAAAATGATAAATCGTGCTAAATCGAAATATCGGTGATGATATGTGTGTTTAATATTTTTCTCTAGCTATAGCATGTTTTTACCTTCGCAATCCACAATCTCTGCTTCTTCTATAACGATCCCCGTGCCACCACCGTCGTCCTTCACGACACTGAAAAATTAAATAACGTTTTAATATTGTCTCATCTCAACCGACTTACATGCGCTATGCATATTACTTCGATGACTGTGTGTGTCGGTCCTACGACGTAAATAAGTGCGTACTGTGCACGAAGTGATGATGACCTTGGGGAGACCTCGGGCGAGACGCGGCGGAAGGGATAGGTGTTCGTGATATCAGACGGTCGATATTTAACGTAAACACTACCTGACATCCTGCTGTTCGAGCTGCTGTTCCAAGATGTCCATCCCTCGTCACCAGAAAAAAAAAACGTTTGAATTTGTCAAAATTCACGTGAGCTGGTCACGGGACACCGCAACGAGGTCATGTGGTGCATAAGATGGCGGCGCGCGCCGCACGTGCGCCATCTAACGTCGCGCCAACTGGATGACGTCGTGTTACACGTTACACGTCGAACGCTAATTGTGGGTTAATTACAAAAGCTTGACAAAACAATAATTTTTCTTTCGAACACAAAAAACAGGACGATCATTTTCCGTAATTTTTCTTTGAATACTCTTTCGGTCTTTAAATTGGCCTTTATTCATCGCAATTTTAGAAAATTTGTAGTTAAAGATGCCACAAAAAAGAAGCTAGGTTTATATTAATTGCAATAAATTATATTGTGTAGTTGTAACACAGTAAAATATATGGAATTGACTCTTTTATGCAATTTTAATCGCAAAATTCTCAGAATTGTGATGTGATAGAGCAATTTGTAAACCAAGATTATATTCAGCGTCACAAAAGCTTTCGTATCTTTTTTGTATGCGTGTGTGTGTGTGTGTGTTTTTTTTTTGTTGAATCACATCATAAAGGAATATATGGATAGAGAAACTTTGCAATCTCAATCTCGTTTTTTTCATTTTCTCGTTTATTTATATATTATTTTAAATTTATTTCTGTAGTGTATATATATATCGATGTTCAAATCTAATTTTTACTTATTGTTTATTATTTATTATTTATTATTTATTGCACACATATTCGTATAAACATCATGGGATTGTATAATATTCAAATATTATCGGCGTAAATAAAAGGGACGTCACGTCCCAATTTCTTCCAATAGAATCGTTCGTTCTCTATTCGAGGCATTCGTGATTTTAAGCGCGAATTCAGTAAACATCTATTCACATATATCTCGTTATGTTTTCGTTCGGGATTTCGCGTGGAAACGTCGTGGATGTAAATTATTGACAGATATCGTGCACTTCCCTTATTCCTCTTTGTGCGAAGAAGAAGCGTATAAAAAGGCATCATAATTGACTTCCTCTGAGATCGTGGAATCTTCCCGGTGCTTATTAAAATGACTAGGTAAGAGTAAGACGCAAACTTTCGAAGGTTATGTCTGTTCGCGCAGATTTTTATACACGTGTGTACGTAATTGTTAATTTTTACGTTCACCGAATTGCTCGTCGATGTTTCTGAACGAAAATACATTTAAATAAAAACATTTGCAATCGAGATCTTTTCTTTTACAATAATTTGTTTGATCTTTTACACCATCCCCCGCCTTTCACCTCTCATCGGGTATTTAATATATTACAGGTCGAAAATAGAATTAGGCGACGTGACACCGCACAACATAAAGCAGCTGAAATTGCTCAATCAAGTCGTGTTCCCGGTCTCATATAACGAAAAGTTTTATAAGGATGTACTGGAAGCGGGAGAACTTGCCAAACTAGCATATTACAATGACATAGTGGTATTTGAAATGATTTTTGTCTAGTATACCAGTCTTCAAATTGTACTCTATGATTATTATGATCTAAATAATTTAATATCTATATGACTTCATAGAAATTCATACGAATGAAATCAGAAAAAAGACATGCTATTATTATATTGATTTACTTAAAGTGTTACACTCATGTAAGAAGAAATTGCTTTTCTTTTTTGCAACTAAAAAACTTTGAGAATCAATGATTTAATATTAAACTTTGATTTAAACATAATATGGGCTTGTTTTAATTCATATCTGATTTTCAGGTTGGAGCAGTTTGCTGCCGTGTAGATACTTCAGAAAATTCTAGGCGTTTATATATAATGACATTGGGTTGTCTTTACCCTTACAGAAGATTAGGAATTGGCACTGTTATGGTCCAGCATGTTTTAAATTATGTTAACAAGGATGGCAATTTTGATTCTATCTTCCTGTAAGTATGATCTGCGATATTTTTATTTGTAATGTACAATTTTAAAAGAAGCATGTTCTTATAGTACTCATCCTAATATTCGCAGACATGTTCAGATAAGTAACGAAGGCGCGATTGATTTTTATAAGAAATTTGGATTTGAGATTGTCGAAACTAAAGAGCATTATTACAAGAGAATAGAACCAGCGGACGCGCACGTATTGCAAAAGACACTGCGTCCCCGAGCAAATCAAACAAATCATCAAACAGTCAACTAATAAGTGTAGCATTTTTCATTAATTTATCTTATAATTTTAAATTGACATACGTTTCCATGTTCTGTCAATAAAGCCATTTTGTATTATATCTGTATATGTTGAAGTAATTTCCTTCATTTACGTACACATTCGACTTTATTAATGTCTTTAACACAAAATTGCTCCAAGTTTAGATGTATTTGAATCAAATATCTAAATATTCATACATCATAAAATTAGTTATTCAAAAAAATGCAATATTAATACTAATTTTTAAAATATTAAATTTTTACAATTTGATCTTATTTCGAGAATTGTCGAAAATACATTTCTTGACATTTTAATTAGTATCTTTTATCTGAGTATATTTTCTCTCTCTTAATATTATACAATTTTAAACTGAAAGATTGCAAAATATCAGGAGAATATAATTGAATAAGAAATGACACTTAGTGAAATTTTTATAGTAATTCCAAGAATTTCCATATTTTTAACTTTAATTTCCAGAATATAAAAACGACAAAGTATCAGAAGAATACTTTGGTAGAAAATGACACAAATTAGAATTTCTCAAGCATTACAATTCTAAAAACTTCAATTTCATTAATTTCTTTCTTCATATTATGTTCTTTCTTCGTCTTCGTATTACGAATTACGAAAAAAACTTATTTGAAAAAGAAGTCCAATTGCAATTTTTATATATGTATATCTTTATTGTCCATCGACTCTTTTCTATTTAGACATATTTAAAAATTTGTACATATTTTTTTTCTTAGAAGATTATGACATTAAAATAATTGTATGCATATTGTGAAAATATTTGTACAAAAAAATAAGAAATATTGCATCTTTTGTATCTAATTTAAGAATCAGATTAAGAATCATTATGAGAAATGAATAAGATGCATATAAAAAACATGCAAAGAAGATTTTACACAACTTTACGATCTAACAATAATAAACAACATTTACAATCTAATATAAAATATTACATAATAACTACTATTACTATGTAATATCTTACCTAGATTGATACTATATGTCACTTGTATTACAATGTAACATATTTCATAACGTAACATATTTTCATATAAAAATGTACTTATAAAAGTATGCAGCTTTATATATAAAAAAATTAAAATGTATATATAATATTAAATAGTTGTAAAACTGTCTTTATATATGCAGGACGTTTTCTTTTCTTTTTTAAGATCTGATCAAACATTAGATGTAAAACACTTTCTTTTCTAATTATTTTAGGTAATGCTGCTTTCACAATGTGACACAATATACAATAATACATAATAATAATTAAAATAACTACTACATATAGAAAATTGCTAGGGAAAAGTATTATCCATTATATATCTGTGTCGTGATATATTATAGGATAGTTAAGCCGCTGAAACAATATCGCGAATACTTGATTGCATCTAGACACAATTACATTTGCTGTATAAATGCAGGTTGCTGCAATATTGAAGTACGTTTTCCGTTTACTCTAGATCAATATATCTTAATAGTGATAATTTTTTATATTATGGTTATAATTCCAGCAATTCTTTTATTCTTTTGGCCGAGAATTCTACGCCCTCCATCGCTTCTTTTGAAACCTACAAACATCAACATCAATGGTATCGATATGGTGATATATCGTGATAATTCACTCATATAAATAAAACAAAAATGTTTTACATGTAGGAAATTTAAAAATCCGTGTGGCAAATCCGGCAATATATCCAGCGCAACATTGTTGCCAAGCGAGCGAAGCTTCCTCGCAAACATGACGGAATCATCGAGAAAAGGATCAAACTCTACCGTCTGGAAGCAAACTATTATGTATAAGATGTCCCAAAATATTCAATCTTAATAGCGATTAGAATACGCATTTTCATTATCATACATTATCAAAAATTGTAATAAAAGTTCAAACAAGTACCAGTATCTTCAAAGGCGGTATATGGGCTAGCATATCATCTGATACAAGATAAGGACTTATGAACATATCCTTCGGTACCGTAAATGTAAATTCCTCCCAAGAATCATTCTTCATATCGAGTTGCCTGACGTCCTTATTATTTCTTCTGACGGACCATCCGAACAGAGACCACGATTTGTCACTTTGTCCTGAAACGTTACCATTTCTGCTGACACTGCCATTTTCCGCAACAGGCGATGATATTGAAGCTGTTCCGGAATTTCTGTACATATTTAAAAATCTGCTGACATATTCTCGGGACTCCACCTGCACTTTCGGACCTTCAATACCTATTGCATTAAAAGATCCTTTCAAAATGCGTATTCAAAAGAGAAGTAGATATATTTTAACGAATAAGATATAATACGAATATTATGGGGCTATGTACTGTTTGATTTGTATGTACCATCGACTTCTGTTAAGCTGACAGAATTTAACGTCGAATCGGATGGTAGAGACACTAATTTTTGCGCGCCGTTCGCGCCGTCTCCGTTTGGACTCAGGGCTAATGCTATAAGATCACTTTCGCTTACTTCAGCAAAAGATTCTGTATCTGATTTGGCGCATTCTTCATTCTCATGTTCTCTGTGGGATAAATTTTATTTGTATGTGCATTGTATTGTGTAATCATTTTCATCGTATCTACAATGAGATGTGTATGCGATAAACGAGAAAGTACACGAATGATTGACATGCATTTCTTTTTAAACTTCTATAAAATATATTTCTTATCATATAAAAAAAAAATGGTTAGAAAAAATGCTATAATAATTTTAACTAAAATCTTACTTTGTAGGTTTCTTGTTATCAGCTCCTACATAAGACTTCATGCATCGTACCAGAAATCCAAATGGTAATAACGTATCCGTAAGACTGAGCAAGCGAGATGGCGATGGAATGAAATCGATGAATATTGGTGTGTAAGCCATAAAAATACCATCTGGTCTTTTTATATTTAATTGCAGACATTTTAAAGTGGCCCCCAAGTTTAAGTTACCTCCCGCTGAATCACCTGTTAAAAAATTAATTATAAATTTCCCAAGTTTTTACTGTTTTGGATAATTAGGCCGGCTATTATATATATTATAGGCATATCAAAGATAGATTTACTTTTACCTTACCAACAAATATCACTTTTTCCGCTGTACTCCCGAGCAATGTGCTTGCATGCTTTAATGCCCATGCATAAGTATACAGCACTTCTTCAAGCGCACGTGGATAGGGAGCTTCTGGAGCTAAACTATAATCTATGCTTAAGATTGGTACTCCGAGCGTCGTAGCCCAATTATGTAGATACATTTCGTGTGATCGCGACGTTTGTGCCACGAATCCGCCACCATGAGAATGAATAATCAGTCTGTCGCATAAACCATGTAATTCTCCCCCTATACCCCCAGATCCGACCTTGATGAAGTAGTGTTAACAAAAAATATTATATTATTCGGTTTAATTAAATAATTTTAAATCTCTCGATTCTATAAATTTTATAATTTATACTCCACTAAAATATATATATAATAATCAAATTAATATATATTTTATTTACCATTCCTAGACGTCGTTTGGAACTCAGTAATCTAACATGGATTGGTTTTTTCCCAATATGGCTATTTGGTATCGGAACTGAAATAGTTCCACCATCCAGAGTAGGCAGAATTAATTCCTCAGGTGGAATAGATATCAGTTGATTGATGACTAACGAGGGGCTTACTACAGAAAGTATTTCTAAAATATAAATATAATACAGCATTATTTAAATATATAAGTACAATGAAAAAAATAGTTTATCTGAACAGTATCTGTTGTAAACGATATAAGCCTTTTTTAAGATGTAAAATATTTATATATATAATATATACCCATGTATTAAATATATTGTTTCGTAAATAATATGAATATTCTAGATTTAATTAATTAATTCTTCTAATTCCTTATTTCTTACCAAGTTCATTCAAGAACCAAAATGCTTGGGTAAAAGAAATATCAGCGTATCGAGATATGTTAACAATACGACGTGCTCTCGCTTCAGGATCAAAGAAATATTTGACGGAATTAGCGCATCGTCCTAGTAGCGTATCATTATTATAATATATCTCGCTATAAGATACCATAGCAAATGCTACTGTCTTTAATACCTTTTTTAAACTATTACAGAACTGAAAAGGAAAATATTTTAGATAAACTTGATCCAATAAATATTATATATTATTCACAAATACCTGAAATCCTATGCATCTACCATAGAAACAATATTGATTAAAATTTTCTGTCCAGTGGAGAATTTCTTGAGTGTCAGGATTCATTGTGAATAGTGACAGTTTTCCATCGCTCATTACTTCTGTACTGGATGCGTATAATATTTTTAAATATTGAAAAAATGTTTGTAATGATACCAATAGCTGGGAGCATGCTTCTATTTCCCTGGAAATTAATCCAAAACGTTATACATTAAATAAACATATGATGTATGCAGTTTCTATGATATACGATTACTTCATATGATGGTTCTTTCGAGAGAACATGGAATCTTTTTGCTCATACATCTGTCGACAGACTTGTTCGGAATGTATAATACATTTGTCAACCATCGACAGGAAACTTCTGTATCCATTTCCCGGAGTCTCCTCATCAAAATCGAAGTGCGACGCGTACTTAGTTATCTCATTGTACAGTGGCTGGAATTCGTCCAACTGTTCCAAGATGACCAGTAACGCGGCCTTGATCCTGACACTGTTCTCGTTGTTATAGGGCGTAAAATATTCCACACTGGTACGACACAATTTTCGCAAAGCACTCCATTGCAACGGTTCAAGTTCTTCGAACGGTCTGTCAAAGTCATCGTTGAGCGTTGACATCTGAGCGATCCTGGCGAAGCGTATAGCATTGATTGATGTAAGATTCTCTTTCTCTCTCTCTCTCCTCTCTTTGTGTGTTGATTTCTGTGATTAATTAACTCTAAAATAATTTAACAGAACAAACAGCTGTACCACTGTGCATCTTAACTACTGATCGCCTGTTGACTGACAGATTGAATTTTCAAACATGCTGCCACAACAGGCTAAGATCTATGTGTGATAACAAATGTGAAATTATATCAATAGAACATTTAACAAGTGCATAATGAATGATTAGTGCATGATTTCGATTAGAATCAGGTTAATCTAAAGCGGATATAAGTATGTGCGATGAAATATTACACTTTTCACTACGCCGTTTGCCGGAATAAATTCTACTTGAAAAAAATGCAAGTTCACGAAAAAAAATAACGTTATATAATTAATTGCACGATTATCCCACTACGATTCTGATATGGTCGGCTTTGCTCGTAACAAAACTGTACTTGACATTTGACAAGCGGTTTCGCGCTGTCGCGCTCGCTCTTCGCATCGAATGTGAAATGAGAAAGCGGAACGCGTCCCAGTTTCTGAGACTGTTGTTTACTTCTCTCTTTCTCTCTATCTCTCTCTTGCGCTTTCATGTGTCAAAAACTTTGATCATAGACTTCTATGTATATATATTATACCTAGATTGCTAACACGGTTATATTTCATATTATGACATGCAAAACAGAGAGCAGCCATATATATTTATATATGTCCTGCAATTGTAAATATAGCTGCCCTGGTAGGCCTATTTTCTAATTTCTTAATGACGATTTTGTTATCATTATGAAATTGTTGCGCAACTAAAACGTATCGGAAAATAGTTGCGCAACGATGCGTATGACAATGATAGCGAATTTGTTGTTAAAAGTTACAGAATAGGGATACTTATTATAGGGCTTTATATTGTGTAACATTGCTATTAGCAATCTAGGTATAATATATAGAATTAAGTCTGTGATTTTGATAAAATTTGATGTGCTATATAGATCAATCCTTTGTCAATGAGAAAGCTCAATGAAGATTGATGTATATATTATTTGTATACATAGATAAAGACGTGATTCATGCAAACGTTTGCGCAAGCTTCTTTGTCTTATTTTTACATAGTTGTCAGAGAGAGAGAGCTAACAGAGATTATCGTACATGATGATATAAAATGATTATTGATGAAGATCTATACAGATTTAGATATTTTTATACTAGATAGCAATATATAAGAACAGTTTTAAACTTTTTATCCACGGTCTTATCGCATAATAATCGTAAATTTAATTAAAAAATTTATTTAGCAAGTTATAGTAACTTATTTTTTTATTTTCAATATTCAACATCTTGACATATATATATATATCTATTGATTAAACAGAACTTTCAATTCTTGGATATTCTTAAGAAAGATATTAGTTTGTTTGCGTGTAAAAGTCAAATAATGAGCATACGCGTTTAATAAACATTTAATGAGACAAGTTTCAAGGATAAAACCGGAATGCATGAATAATTAAATAAGTTCTTTCTCTCTTTATTGTATATCATTTAATTATAATCGTATAAAATTTCTACATGCTATATTTTCCTCAATATTATAGACTTGTTTATGGCACAAATGAAAAATAAATAAAGTGAGAGATCTAGGCAATGATAGTATATATATGACAGATTATATCAACAAAAAAAAACTCACCAAAATTATTATCCGGATTAAAGAAAAAATGTGTGTATGAGATAAAATTGATTTATCATTAACTTGGTACTGTAGTGTAGACTGTAGACTGTTTTGTTTTGCTATTCCTGATGTGCATCGAGCCTTAATTGGATGCAGATGATAACTGTTTCGATTCTCAATTAAATCATTTATGCGTGCATATCTAATGGACTTTCGTTTCGCGCTGACACATGTCCATCATGCGATGCAAAATTCTGATTCAAAATTATCTGTCACTTTTGTGAGCGTCACGACTAGATAAAGAATTGCATACTAAATTATATGTAATATTATAGTTTAATGTAATAATATAATATTGCGATTAGATAAAGAATTGCATACTAAATTATATGTAATATTATACTTTTTAATGTAATAATATAATATTGCGATAATATAAATAATATCGTGTGCAATATTAATATTTTAATATTTTATATCTCGGGAAGATATATATAAGTATTTAATTACTAGTTTTTCTTTTGAAGAGAATCGTTATCAATAGACATTATTTTAACATTCAATTCAGTTTTTGTTTCAACCTAGAACGCGAGATTGTCAAGAGACAATTGTAATGAAACGCACGGTCGAGATTCTTTATAATTTATTTTTATTGATAAGTAAAATTACATTTATCCACAAACACAATACGTTCTTTTCAATGGGGTGTAATAATGCGTTAAAACTTGTGAGCGGCGAGGAGAAACACCTGCGAAGGAGAAAGAGGGACGAGGAGAATTTGTTTCTTTAGTCTTTCGACACTGGCCCTTGTATTTTTCGTGAACAACGGCGAATCACGGCATTTTTTTCAATCGCAATTATTAGTAAAATAAAAGAGAAGAATTGAAGGTTTTAGTGTAAAAAATTACGGTATTTATAAGATATATTTAGTCATATATAAGTATGAAAAGAAAATCGTATCTGAAATAAGATTTCTTACGAATCATATGGAATCGCCTCACACTCTTGAGCCTTTTAATCCCTATACATATAAAATATATGGGTTAATTATCCCATGTATTTAAAAGAAATGTATAAAGCCGTTCTTTGTGCGCAAAGTTCTCGATATAATTATGTGATTAAAATTCCAACAATACAAGATACAAATATCTTTCAGATATGAAGGAATGATTGTTTATAGCAGTCCCACTTTATAATTGCCACAATTAATTTGTTTGTATTGTTTCCGCTACGAAGATTGCCATTGTTCACAGAAGAGAAAAACGAAATCTCTTTCGCGTGCATAATTATTAGTAGTATTCTTCAGAATTCAATTTTTCATTGCTATGAAAAAGAAAACATTTTTTAAAAGCAATTGGGATTATCTTTGCGCCACACATAGATAAATTTTCATCACATCTGCATTATATTTATATGTAAATAATACGATGCGTATTATTAAGCCTTTTACATAAGAGATGAAACGAATGTCACGATAATGTAACAGACTTTGTTATACGTCAAATTATTTCTTGCAACGCGCGGAAGCAGAATGAGTTTACGTAATTCGCGCTGCTCGATAATTATTAAAACACGATAGAATGACGGCGGGGAGATACCGAAAAAATTGTAAAAATAAAGTCTAGTGTTTTATAGTCTCATTATTATACTCTTTCTCCATCTCTGGACTTGCTAATCTCTGGACTGCGGCTTGAAGGACGTATATTTTTCTTCTTCTTCTTCTTCTTCTTTTCCTCACATCTCACATGGCTTTTAAGCTAAGTTCAGTTACCTCGATATAATATATAATATATATATATATACTTATTACCTCTTTACAAAAATCAATTCTTAAACTTCTATATACGGAGATGGCCCGATGCAAATTCACAGTATCTTGAAGCGCACACATTTTTTTTTCTCCATCTTTCTCTTTCCTTTCCCGCCACAACCGAATCACCGAAACATGATATGCTCCGACTACTGGCTAATACTGATACCACCCCGATATCTTCTACGAAAGTCATCGGAGAGAATATTGGACCGTTGTTGCCTGCGTATGGCGTAATATCCTCGGGTCGGCAAGTCTCGAGATTTACATACTTATATACGCGAGATACAATGTGCCAAATCTTGCTGCTTGCTTTGCGATCAATCGCGTTGAATTTGACGAACGATATATATGTATACGCGATCAAATCAGTCCCGATACCGGCCAATCGCAAACTATCTTTCTGTACGAGAGCAGAGGCTCTAGCCTTGCGTGAGACTCTTAGAAAAATAATAAGTACAATCGTTTTTAAGAAAGGTCTTCAGCATCTGTGAATCCGTATCAAGGTCAGGTTCTTTTATATGCGATGTTGTCAATGTGTTGTTTAACGACTATATACGCGCTATAGGTACATAAGATTTAATTTAATATGTATACATGTATATGCATGTGTATATTTTTATATATATATTTTTGTATATTCTTCTTCTTCTTTTCCTCACATCTCACATGGCTTTTAAGCTAAGTTCAGTTACCTCGATATAATATATAATATATATATATATACTTATTACCTCTTTACAAAAATCAATTCTTAAACTTCTATATACGGAGATGGCCCGATGCAAATTCACAGTATCTTGAAGCGCACACATTTTTTTTTCTCCATCTTTCTCTTTCCTTTCCCGCCACAACCGAATCACCGAAACATGATATGCTCCGACTACTGGCTAATACTGATACCACCCCGATATCTTCTACGAAAGTCATCGGAGAGAATATTGGACCGTTGTTGCCTGCGTATGGCGTAATATCCTCGGGTCGGCAAGTCTCGAGATTTACATACTTATATACGCGAGATACAATGTGCCAAATCTTGCTGCTTGCTTTGCGATCAATCGCGTTGAATTTGACGAACGATATATATGTATACGCGATCAAATCAGTCCCGATACCGGCCAATCGCAAACTATCTTTCTGTACGAGAGCAGAGGCTCTAGCCTTGCGTGAGACTCTTAGAAAAATAATAAGTACAATCGTTTTTAAGAAAGGTCTTCAGCATCTGTGAATCCGTATCAAGGTCAGGTTCTTTTATATGCGATGTTGTCAATGTGTTGTTTAACGACTATATACGCGCTATAGGTACATAAGATTTAATTTAATATGTATACATGTATATGCATGTGTATATTTTTATATATATATTTTTGTATATATATATATATATATATATCTATATATTATTCATACGTCGCACACACACACACATATACATATATAATCGATATTTTATATCATTATTGTTAACGCATTGATGCTATCTGTTGTTATTCATATAGTCATAGTACATTCACTGGTATAATTGCTATCGTCTTATGATATATCTAAAATAATATTTTTAACATTCAGCGATGTGTGTTGTTTATGTGTGTGTCTGTGTCTAGCATCTTGTCGATTATACACACTCTTTTCCACCGGAGTTGCGTGAAGACAAACGGTCGCTGTGTGTGCACGTGATTCGCGTTAGATAGATAGGAGAAAGGCAGCTGCTTCACAAGTGCGCTTAGGAATATAATATCTAAAGGATTTCTTTTTTTTTTTTTTTTAATCGCCCTCTGATCGCGGGCGATTATCGTATGTGTCGCGCGACACAATCGTAGTAAAGTGAGCGCAATTGAAGGAGAGGATTATCTTAGCACGTAATCGGGAATGTATGTACTTATGCATGGACATTCGTGTGGGGCATTTCACATAAGAATACAGAATACAGAACGCGACTTTTAATTGCTATTTACCAAGATAATAGTAATCATCGCGCGTCGTCGAGCTGAATCCGTCCCTTATATTATTGGATATATCGAGATTACGTCGGGGCGATCGACCGACCCGAATGCCTCAAGGTACAATACGGTACACTAACGATAACTATGCTTACGCTCTTATCGTGCCCCCGCCATAGGATAGACGTCATAAAGACGACTAAAAAGAAAAAAAAAACGTTCTAATCTCTTAGACGTTTAAAAATACATCGCAATCTTTCATAGACTACGTAGAGATATCTTAATCTCTCAGACATTATAAAGACGTCGTGACTTTTTATTACGTGTTTTTTTAGATGTCTTTAAGACTTCTGTGGTGTGTGTGATTACATGTTACCACATTACCACAACCACTAATGGACGGTAATGGCTCTGTAGATTGTGGCAGCGCGTCTGCATGCGCCGGCGTTGAATGCACCGCATCGTATCGCAAGCTCTTTTTTACCAAATAAGTTCGACGAAAGCGCGTAACTATCTAACGTGGTTCCGAGATGAAGAAAAAAAAAAATCAAGAACTGTATGTGCTTTCTTCTCCCCACGCGACCCTGGCGCTAAAGTGCGGGCTACTACCATTTTTTTTTTTTTTCGTTTGACCATATACAAATATATAAGCATTAAACGTGTAATATATATTATATCATCATCGTCGTCTCGCGCGTCGTATATAATTAGTAATATATCCTAAGATAGTTATTGTATTAACGATCTTTTTTCCCTTTTTTTTTTTTCCCGAGAACGCAAAACGCGGAAACGAAAGAGAAACGCTTACCTCAACAGCTGCCACACTCTTTTTCTTTTTCGACCTAACATAGTCAGAGGTACTAATGCCACTCGAAAATGATCTCCGGTTGAACTGTTCCTCTTATTCGACAGCATCGGCATGATCTGTCCGATGCGACGATCGTCGTTTCTCGTCGGCGAGATCGAACGAAGCTGCCGAACATTCTCCATGCTAGCGTTCTCAGCACCTCGACAAAACAATGGGTTTTCGCGTGGAATGATAGAATGCTTGCTTCCTCATCATCGCCATTAACTTCGAGATATACGTCAATGATACTTAATTTCCTTACATCTTAAGGTTCTTTATCATCTAAAAGTAGACGTTAAGTACTGAAAAAGGTCACCGAGAGAAAACGAGGCAGTGGGAATCGAACGGAGACGGAGAGAATAAAACAGCTGCATCACGAAGGTAAGAGTGAAATGTGCAACGATAACATGGGGCGTATGTTCTGATATTTTAAGAGTGCCGCGTAGCTCGCTCGCGCTTGATTATTTTAGCATAACGTTAATGATTACGCGATTAATCGGAGTATTTACGTCTATATGCTGCTCCCAGTAACAAGCTACTACAAACGCTATCGCTTTTTTTCGTGTAGTGCTTAAGCTGCGTTATGTTTTATTGCCATTTTGATTATCTCCGAAAATATCAGAACCTAAAAATACAGGAAAGAGCGCAACGACAACGCGTTTACCGACGTTTACATTGTCCGTGTAAACGCACGTTCTATCGTCATTCGAACGTTCGTCCCCAAGGAGTGAGAGTGATCAGTTACGATCAACGTCGATCCGCGGAGCTTCCAATTCGAGTGCACAACGTGTAGAGGCGAAGGAACATCGAGGTAAGTCTAAAAATGGCGTTTTCTACTTTTACACAACACGAGCGCTCCTTCCTGCGTTTTTATACCGACATGTATATGACAACATAACGTGAAAACAATATGTGCATGAGATACTTCCGAAGATAGCGTGTAACACTCGTGTTCGTATGGCACATAAGTGTAAATTCTACGTCATTTTATCTCCCGTAGAATCCGTTTCGTTCCCATCCAGCGTGTATCCCTGCTACAAACTTTATTTTACAGATATTGTCAATTCTTTGCGAAAATCGATTTACACCGCGACGTGGAGCCGGGGTATGTAACAAGTGGACGCGATATACGCGCAATGTCTCGTCGCAAGCGCGATCTGCCGATTAAGAAACGCGTTTTCTGGATTAGCGCATCTCCGGGAAATATACATGTTCCGGATCTTCGGAAGAATCTCGCGGGGGGTTAGAGATATACATATTATTTATATATCTTACTCTAACAAAATACTATGAGATTCTTGAAGGAAATACGCGAGAACGAATACGCGATTGCGACCAGCTTCAGAAATGAAAACTGTGAGGCGACAGCCGAATTATTCCTTCACCTCGAAGTATTTGTATGTAGGATTCTCGTAACCGTTGATCTGCATATTCGCGACGTGCCGTTCTTCCGGCGTAGCTGCTTGATCGACTTCAATGAAACCCTACGGGAAATCAGGAAACATCACTCGTATCGCATTATGACACGATAATTGACATGCTACTATAATATATGATTATAATTACTTTTCTTATACATTATACGTGACATTATATTATACACCTTACATTACAATTGATATGATTCCTGCAATGATACTTATATATCTTTTAATATAACAACATACCTGGCTATGAGGACTTCTCGCACTGCGTCTCTTAAATACTGCGACGCCCACAACTGCAGCCGCCATAAGTGCTATGCCAGCGAATGCAAGTGTGAAATAGACGGATCGACTTTCTCTGTGGTACACCTCTCGCCTTACAGAGTAACCCTGCGAAAGTAATAGGATTTGTTGATTGTAACGACAAGAAATTCATAAAGATATTTTTTTTCTATTAAATGTATTATATTATACACTATAAATATATACCATATTATTTTATTTCTATTTAATATATCTATAAAATTTAATTGATAAATAATAAATATATACAATGAATTTTTAAACAATGATAATTATATTGTTTTAGACTTTATAGTTGAAATAAATTCTCTTACTGGTTCAGAATGAGAGACATCATGAGTCATACTGTGAGCTGCTCTGACTACTCCCTCGTTATGCATGGCAGCGACCGCGACGGTTTGCTCTGACTGCTGAGGAATATCCTTGGTATCAATTGCCGAGTCGTTTTCTTCATGTTGTTCCTGCTCTGTACGCAGCTCGCCGCGTTCCGCCTTACGTTGCTCTTTGCGCGCCCGTTCGAGTTGCTTCTGATGTTCCTTCTCTGTGTAAAGTGTAAAGTAAAGCGAAACACGTTCGTTCGTAGAAATTTGATAGCTCGATAATTCATCATAAATACCTTGCTGCTTGCTGGCAACATCAGCCTGGTACTTGTCTAGAATGGCTGCCTCTGCTTCCCGCGTCATCGCCAACAGCAATCCCGGAGTTTCATCTTTACTCCTGAGGGCCAAAACGTAATCGTCCATGAGACGGCCAATCTTCGCGCTTAGATCTGGATATCTGAACATAAGAAAAGAAAAAATGAGTCTAACGTTTTTGCGGCCGCGGTTTTAAGTTCGTATGCAAATCGTATCGCGCGATCCGAGTGTTTAACGTACGTTCGGGACAAAACTATAGAATAAAATATATACGTTACCGTTCCAACATCAAGAGGCTCTGATTGGTAATCCTATCGATTTCCGCCAGATGTTCCAAAGTTGCCGGTTTCTCTCGTTGCGCTTGTTCTAAGCTGCTGTCGAGAAGATGCTTGTAATGAGCGATTGTATGGTGCCTGTCTTTGTGAAGGGCTCTGAGTAATTTTTGCAAGCATTTTTGAATGCGGTGCATCTATAAAGACATACACAGCAAATGTGAGACAGGTAAAAAATATTCTTTGCGTAAAAGTTAGAACGCAGAAACTTACATTCGGTGGCGTTTCGTTAAGTGCCGCCGTATAACATGCCATGGCTTCTTCGTTTCTCTGTTTAACAGCCTCCTAAAAAAAAAAAAAATATATATATTATAGAATTTA